TTGAAAACAAGCTCACGGTACGATTTCTCTACTTCAGGAGGACATCTAACTGTATAAATCAGAACAACAGCATAAATAAGTATCATCATTCTTTTTGTTTTTCTTCACTTCTATATATTTTATGTAATTTGGCGTTTGGATTTAACTTCTCCACTTTCTATTCCCATTATCCTATATAGGTTTAAAAATCATTATTCGTTTTGCCCTTGTCTTTTAAAAAAATTTGTTATTCTATATTTTTTGTTGTTGTTTACTACCACAAACTTGAACTAACTGTTAGTATGTAACACTATAAAACTCAATGACTCTAAATTATTAGTAACAAAATAGGGGAATAAACCCTGCGTTTATCGCATATTGTTTGCTTAAATCATTATTATTTGCTGGCTGCCTCTGCACCTCCCTTTCTGTTTTCTTCTTCCTTCTCTTCTCGAAGGTATTGCATTGAAGCACTGCAAATGAACAGTAATGCTGCTTTCTACGTTTGTATTACTTGAGCGTTATTCAGAATATTGTTGGCACACACGACGAACCGCGGAACAAATTCCATTCTGAATTCTGTTTATCATCGCAAAGTTGATCCCTTGTATCTGTTAATACCAAAATAATGTTGTACTTACCCGCTACTGTGGAGTTTTATAAATTTTTGAACATTTGTTAATTGACAAAATGATAATGATCACAAAGCCTGTATCCTGTATGTCTTACTCTAGCACATGTTTTTCACCTCTCTTCTTACCTTCCATTAACGCAACATTTCGTAATTCCCGCATGAATTTAACTGACTATAAGTATATTGTAGACTATAAATTAGACTTGAACCAATATATTGTAATCTATTCTAACAAAGTTTCTAGAGGTCATTTTTCTCCACTTTTCCAATTTTTGATGTCAGAAAACGGTGTTCCATTTCAAATTGCACTTGTCGAATATGATCATGCCTGTACAAACGGTATGTTAATCATGTAAACGCTTAATTTATGTGAAATATATATTATTATTATCAAAAATATTGAGGAATTTAAAAGGAACGTAATGGACATAATTATTGAAGAAGACGAAATTATGCCAAGTTTTGATGTGATTTCTTTATTTACCAGTATTCCTATTTGTGATTCACTCGTTATTATGAAATATGAACTTAGAAACAATCAAGAAAAATTAACTAAATATTTATTATCAAAAGATGAAGTTATAAAATGCTAAAAACTTTGTTTGGAACCTACAAATTTTACCTTTAAAGACAAACTATTATGTCAAACAAATGGAGTTGGAGTGGGTTCACCAGCATCTCCAGTTGTAGCAAACCTATATATGAAGGCCCTAGAAAAGAAAGCATTGGCAAGTTTTAGTTATCATCCCAGAATATGGTACAGTTATGTAGATGACACATTGATCATCAAAAAGAAAGCTGAAAAAGAAAACTTTCTAACAGAAATTAACTTAATCTCAGAATACCATCTGTCATATACAAAAATGGTAGCATGGAAATGGTAGTTTTGTCACTTAGAATATTTACTCTCTCGTTGGAAACTGGAACTTATCCTGAAGTGTGGAAAACCACATACATATTACCTAAGCACAAAGCAGGGGCTAAAACCAGCGTATGCAACTATAGACCTATCAATATAACACCGGTAATATCCCGAATAGTGGAGAAAGTGGTTAAAGACCAAGTGTCAGATAACTTTCCAGAAAATGAACTTATCAATCCATCGCAACATGGACTCCTCAAAAAGAGATCATGTGTGACCTGTCACATAGACTTTTTCAACGAAGTTACACGAAGTAGGGACAACAGAAAACTAGTAATTGTGTTATATTCCGATATAACAAAAGCCTTCGACAGAGTTCCCCATAATCTGCTAGTCAGCAAGTTATGCTCACTATGGATATGTGACCCTCTCCTGAGCTGGATAAAATCATTTCTCTGTGGCCGAAGTCAGACAACGAAAGTTGGCTCGATAATCTCAAGGCCTAAACCAGTAAGTAGTGGTGTGATCCAGGGAAGTGTATTAGGCCCACCCTTATTCATAATATATATAAACAGTATCTGTGAATGCTTTAGTGTAGGTAAACCAATACCATATGCGGATGACTTAAAAGTGACGTATACATGCAAGAACACAGATCTTGGAATAGCAGTAAACGCCATACAGCAAGAATTAGAAAAAATGGGTAGATGGTGTGACACCTGGCAACTCCAATTTAATGTCGAAAAATGTGGCTGGCTCTGCATAGGTTGCAACAATTTAGAACTTGACCTGACAATTAAAGGCTATGCACTTCAACGACTGGAATCTGTACTGGACCTAGGGCTGAAATATTCACATAACTTATCATTTTCTGAACATATCTCCAAACAAGTGTCAAAGTCACGCAGACTTAGCGGCTTTCTACTCAGGAACTTCTACAGAAATGAGTCTAGAATTCTGCTGTACAAGGTTTGTGTGCGTCCTTTATTTGACTACTGTTCATTCATGTATAGTAGCATACGCATAGAGGACAAATTGAAAGTTGAGGGAGTGCAGAGGTACTTCACGTTAAAATTACTCGGAACTGAAAATGGTACGAACTACTCCACTAGATGTGATACCCTAGGACTAGAAACACTATGGCTAAGCCACCTGAGACTTAACTTAACGCTTTACTATAAGCTTCTAAACCGCTTAGTTTTTACCTCTACTAATGGCACTCGACTTTCAGATGACAATGGCTACAACCTAAGACACACCAAGGGTACAGTAGCTATCGAACAATGTAAAACAGCCACCAGGCAAAAGTTTTACTTGATTAGGTATGCACAGATATGGAATAAACTGCCAATCGAAATGCGTCAAGCAAGTACATTGGCCTCCTTCAAAAAGGTGCTTAATGACAAACTACAAGAGTTTGCAAACGATAGTAGTTCCAGTTCCTATCTGAGAGCCTCCGAAATTATAGGTCCATTTAATGTATGAGCTTAAATACTACACCTGTTGTTTTTTGCCTATTTTTATAATTCTAGATAAAAAATTTACGGTTAACATACGTATCCTCAAACAGACAATAAATCTCTTTTGTAAAACTACTACCCAATACAATAAGTGGAATAAAATGGACATAAACCGACAACATGAAAAAGGTATAACTCACCACAACATCACATGGACAGATGAACGCTCGTTGGGCACCATATATCCCTCACCAACTGCAACCCACCTTTCCTTAGATAATGTGATGAACTTATATCCATAATGTTGCTGAGCAGTTAATATTCTCAACTCCTGTCGGAACAGCTGAAATTCATAAACCTTCCTAACGCTAAGAAAATACCCACAAGCAGTAGAAATCCATTAATTAATGCGTCCGAAGCTTATGTACTTACTCCCAACAATGACATTGAAGATCAAATGAGATAAACATATCACTGATTTCAAAATAACACATCAATGAACTATAATTCGAAGACTCTGCACACAACAAAGTTATGTGTGAATATTTACTTCAAGCTTTATTTTTTTCCCAGGCACTTATAATCCATCCACCAAAGACCTGGTTTTTTTGTTAATGCGAAGACAATACTCCTGTATTTCCTGTTGTGTTGCACTCACTGACAATCTAGCAGATTTTTCCAACTTTGCACAGAAATGATTGTATATAAGTGAAAAGGCTGTTTTATACTACTGGGATTAACATTTATCAAGTGTATGTATAATCTCCAGCGAACAAGTAAGGCATATCTTGCTAATGCCTGTAAATTGTGATTGAATTATATGGTTCTATTTCTGTAACAATTTGATGATGCCTGTAAACTGGCGTCCCTCATGTACTGTACTATGAGAATAAATTTATTTATTTATATATAGTTCCCAAAATGTCACAAAGTAATTGTGTCTACAAGATAATGCGTTCAGAATGTGAATCTTGCTATATAGGGGAGAGCAGTAGGCAGGTGAAGGTCATAGAGAATGAATACAGAATATGCACTAAACGTCCACCTAGAAATGATGAAGTAGAATTTAAAAGTCTACAAAAAAGATCGGCTATAGCAATGCATGCGATAGACAGCGGACATAAGATTGATTTCGACAATATCGAAATTCCTGGAAAAGGACTTCATTCACACAAAGAAAGATTGACTTCTGAAGCCTTGCACATCTTAACCACATCGAATGCAGTGAATAAGAAAGAATGGATAAACTTATCACCTATATGGCAAACTCCAATGAAGCAAGACAGATGAAAAAACAATAAACACTCTATGAGCCTCCATGACCTTTTAAAACATGTAGTATCTTGTTTATCACATATGAATTCACAAATTTTCCACATGACAAATAACACATACACACACACTCATAAAAAACTAATCTGTACAAATCAAATATAAAAGAGTGGACACAACAACAACTTGACATTGGTCATTACAAATATATGTGAAGACTGCTTACATATTTCTATTGGTAAAAACGTCCATGGACAAATGACCTTCAAATAAAGTGACTTCAACCTATGTAAAAGTTTTTGACCATATGTTTTGTTGATTAATAAAAAATCTGAATATATCTGCTGAAGAAGCTGTGGCTTACACAGCGAAACGTTCAGGAAAATCTTGTTTTGATTTTCTTCACACGCTGGGATTAATTTATATAATTTATAATATCCCATAAACAGTTCAAAAACAACCAAAACACTGAAACCACGCATGAATGCAACGTATGAAACAAATACAATGGAGTGGTTGAACTGATCTGGTAATAAAAACTTCCGAAACCAACGAAATAACCGTCTTTAATTGCAAAGGAAATAGAAACGAGGTGAAACGCAACATTTGTAAACAATGTACATCAAGATACGTTGTGAATGACTGCAGGAAACACGTAGCAGCCAATGTGTAAATGAACGATTAAGGAACTGCAATCCAGCATGACTGACTAACACGTATGAAAATGTTCACTGTTGTTTTACTGCAATGATTTTGAACCTGAGGGTTAAGTTCAGTCGAATCACTTTGTCCACTTGATGACCTTGAGCGCGGGATAAATTCAGTCGGCGGTAATCTGAATCTGAAGTTCTCCGTTGCTGCGTGGTTATAAATTAACATGGGGTACAGAAAGCATAGAGGAAACAGGAAGAATTTGCCAAAAAAGAATCCTACAAAGCCTTCTTTTCCTGCACATGCTGACGATTCCTCCGTAGAGACTGACAGGTTAGTTCTATCTTCGTCTTCTATTTTCTTCAGTGTTTGTGACTCATCAGGTGGTCAGACGCCATTATTGTGTAGTCTGTGCAAAAAGGAATACTATTCGGTTTTCTCTGCTGCTTGTGGACACCAATTCTGTAAAACAGTAAGTAATATCGTGTTTGTGTTTCACATATGTACTCCAATGGGCAGGCTTAGGAGCACTGTCTCACGTGAGTAGATGCGCCCGAAGTTTTTGCCCCCAAAAATCTGCAGTGCGCTGAAAAGTAATGCTAGCTGGGCTACTAAACATTCCGACTAGCATTGGCTTCAGGTGTACTGTACAAACGTTTAGGCGAACGTCAGGTCCACGTATTCCTGTAGTTTTGCTGAAAGTACCTCGACTTCGGCGCATAATGTCACACATCCAGATGTGTAACCAATGTTAATTCCTCACAGTCACTTCAGTAGTCCCGAAATTTCCGCTAACCTCAAAATTGTGGGATTTTGGGCATCTCGGAGAGAAAAGTTAGGGGCAGTTTCGACTTGTTTCCACAAAGTACACTTAACTTCCGCCGGAGTATTTCATCCGGGACGGTAACTACTGGCTGGATTTCATACATCCCTATTGCGTTTCCATATTTTGAAAACGAGTAGATGTTTCAGATACGAATGTATTTAAAGTGACGTATGCGAAGAATTCAATTTCCCTTCAGGTTAGGCTGAGTAGGTATGTTGACACTTCGCTACACTCCGTAGTAACGCCTTGTAGTCGAATCACATGAAGTTTGTGCTATACTAAAGAATGAAGATACTCATTAGTGATTTCGTAGTTGTGTATCTTCCTTGATTATCTATGAATTACCTCAAGGGACCCAGCCGGTACGTGAATCCTATGAACTGCGAAGTACACCCATTTAGACATGGAAATAAGAACAAACATATTGGTGTAAAGACTGGCAAATTCACACACTGAGCTATGCAATCTCAATTATGTGTATTCATTCTTTTATTTGTACATTCAGTCTGTCGAACTGCAAAGAATATGTCAAGTTAGTTTGTGGTATTGTTTACACCGAAATATTTCGAGACAGTGAGGACAAATCAATCATTAAATAGGAGCGAATGTCAACATAGACTGTACCTTTACTACTATGAATATCTCACTGGAGAAGTTATCGAATGGAATACTCTTCGATCACTGGTGAATGTTTTGAATAGATAATCGTAGTTGTGCAGCTAGGAGATTGCATTTGTAGAGAATGCTCACACTGAAATGTTTCTTCTTGTATGGAATATATACTTGACTGAATACCTCAAGTTTGTGTAGATAAATAAGGTAAGGTTCAGCACTTCAACGAATAACAGGATAGTATTCTATGCACGTGTGAATTACTGTTCCCCCTAACAGCTGCTAACCAACTTTAATGAATTTGTAATGTTCTGGTTGCGGTGAATACATCTGAATGTCCTACTACATCATAGATGTCGTTTGATTAGCAATGAGAGTGAATGCAGTTACCGTGATGATTTGTCTACACTGACTGACTGGTTTCAACATGGAACTTTGCACAGATGTGCAGCAGTTCAAGTTGCCATACTCCCTCCATGTAGCACACAAAGCGAGAGAAGAGGTTAGATAAAGAGAGATAATAAACAGAAACGTGAGGCAAAAGGGAATAGTAATATGGAAGAACAGTAGAATTTTATTGGATATTGCAAATCATACAGCGTAAATGCATCTGTGCCAGCTATTGTGAACAATTTTGAGCTATATCACCGATTGTCTCCAGCTACTGGTTTTTACAATGTGAAGAACCCCAACCAGTCAGGAAGTCTGCATCTACCTACGTGAACTAACTGTTGTGGATTTCATTGACTGATGGAGCCATATTTTGGTTTGACCACGACGTGCTAGCTGTTTTCCAACCTGATCCATTCTTTGTCAGTCAGCTAACATTGCCCGTCGTCGAAGAAAGCGATGGCTAGTTGGGCATGCGTAGCATGTTCTAACCATCTCAATCTGTGTAACTTCACAGCCTTGTCTATCGATTACTCCTCCAACTCACCTAGCACTGGAGCAATGCTTAACCTCAACATTGCTCACCCCATTATACCACCACTTAACACGGGAGATAGAAGGCAGACTCCTGTGATCAAAGATAGGTAGGCTTTTCATGTCATGCACTCTCATTGGCCAGGTCTCACAGTCATAAAGGAGGACGGAGCGGACTGCTAATGTGCAGTACACACGCCCCTTGGTTGACAGTCAGCCAGTCGGACATCACGTCTACTAAGCCAGAGATGGCGTAATTTGGCAAGCATTTGCCAAACGAGCCTTCTGTATTCGTGCTGAGATTTTGTCAGTGATCAACCCATTGGGGCTGGGTGATGCAAATTCCTAAATAAGTGAAATGGTCAACACGCTCTACCACTTCACTCCCCGTATTCACGCTAGGAGTCAATGTAGTCCAGTCCAGTCCTGTAGCATCATCGCCTTGGATTTGTTAAGGCGAGCGAATCGCATGTCGATGGTTGCAGCTCAGGATGTTGAGATGGCTCTGCTGGATTTTGTCAGCGTCTTCATTTGGGAAGAAGGACTATATCAGCTGGATATTCTAAGTCGACGAGATTATTCCCTAGTAGAAAGTCAATCCCTGAGTCTCTGAAGTCGGTTGGAGCTAAGTCCATTAGTACGATATCTATGATAAAATTAAAGAGAGATGGGGTCAGTGGGCATCCCTGAAGGACACCACTGGTTGTCATCACAATTGTTGGATGACAACTCTCCGTAGGCTCTCATCTGGTTGGCTGACTGCATTGAGGGTGAGTTAGTATTCGGAAGTTCTTTTACTCTCTGCATTCCACAGTGAATATTATGTTGATGTATTAAAAAAATAAAAACTTGAGTGGACAATACCATCGTTTATGTGTATGCATGGATTCTATGCCGTGGTTCACTCGTCTGCTCGCTCGAGTCAGAAACCCAGCCCGCCTACTAGGGTTCGGTGGCAGTTGGGTAGTATCACCAGTTGATAAGTACAGTTCACAGTTAGTTGTATGCATGTAGGTAGGTGAGTAATTAAGTAAAGAGTTGTTAAGTAACATTTCACTTTTTGTTGTTGTGAGATTGGGTTTGATGAACATTATATTAGATATATGCTGTGACCTGCTTATATCTTCCTAGTATTCCTGATTAGCACCGCATCAAACCTCTGGGGTGGTAAGCATTTTATGATGTAAGTTAACTGGAATGAGGGTGAATACGCATCTCCCTTTCCTCCTTTGCGTGTCATTCAATCTCTCAGTAATTAACCCTGGTTACTCTTTCTCCTTCTTCTGATTTTAGTGTTCGGAGGATTCACTTCTTGGTATGGATACTTGTCCTTTGGATAATAAAGAAATCGATGAGGATCAACTGGTTGAATTTATATGTGCTGGAAGCCATGACGACAGTGTAAGCCATTTTTCTTTCTTTTTACTTAACAAAATTTAGAGGGCTGACTAATTTTTTCAAAAATGTTTTCTACCTTTAACTAATTATAGTCATTAATGTGTGTAACAACTGTTAGTGTAGAAGCTTGAGTTCAGTACCACCCTGATCTACTCACCTACTGACTGACTGACTATCTGGTTGTGTGTGTGACGAGTAGTCATCCTACAGACTACATCGGGTTCATGACTCAGCATTCAGATATGATTGGGACAACTGTGTGGGTGAATTAAAAATGAACAGGTCTGTTTTCGGCTAATTCATTCGCCTAGCTGTACACTCGGAATTATGTAGAATTATTCTTGTGTGTGTGTGTGTGTGTGTGTGTGTACATTAGGTTTGTGAACGAAGAAGAATATAAATAAGTTAGGGTTATTGTTGACGTCATCAAAATGTGATGAATAATCAAATTATAATTAGGAGGGGTGTAAAGATTGACAACGGATATGTAGTGTGATATGAAAGAATTTGGAGACAAGTGTCCAAAATATATTATGTAATAGCTAGAAAGAGTAAATAAAGGGTTAGTTAGGAGTTTAAAACAATTAGTTCCCTTCATGAATCGTGTCGCATATTTGCCCAAGACATTTCGAACAATCTGATTACACTCCACGTGCTTGTCATATATGAAATGAATAAAGAATTAAGAGGTGAGAAAATAAATTTAGGTCAAGTGATAAGGACATATTGAAGGCAGAAATAAAAATCAAGTTCACTAAACCTAATAAGCTTGGTTAGTTGGGAAAAATATGTTACTAAAAGATATGACGCCACCATTAGCCCTAATGTACACACACACGAGTAATTGTGTACAATTGCGATGGTACAGCTAAGGGAGTGAATTCGTTGAAAACAGACTCTTCACTGACCTCTTTTATTGTCATATTCATGTCTGATTGGGTGTGGATGTCTTTCCTGAATGCAATAAACAAGACAACTGTTATGTGAGTTGTTTAAAATTTTTCATTTTGAGAATGTCGTAGATTCGTAGACCAATAGGGACAAGGAGTTAGTTGGTGGAAGGTGAGGAGCGCCTATCTTTTGATAACTTTTGCATATATTGACCTTTCGAGTGATTTCGCCAACCTTCACGTCTGTGGTTGTGATGAAGTACTCGCCAATCACTCACATTGTCATGGGGTTTGATTCCCAGCCGACGCACACCTAAACCTCGCTTGACCGGTGGCTAGGTGGGTGTAAACAGGGAAGATTGAGCGTGAGACTATCAACCCCCAACCCTGTTCATTTAATGAACACCCCAGTGCTACTGTAAAGCTCAAGCCTGAAGTCTTATGTCCACCACTCGGAACGCGAAGTAATCAAGAATAAATTATAATCAGGTTGTCAATAAACGAAACTCTATACACAGGTAAATATCGACTTATTTTATTTACTACTAGTCAAGCTATTAATTTCTTCATTGCAATATCAAAAAACTATCCAACTCCCCTATTGGTTGTCTCTTACTATGTCTAGTTTGTGTTAAATCTGTTTTAGAGCTATGGCCTAGACAATATAGATTCAATACGTACATTACAAGCAAGAGTTGACTCACTAACTTTAATTGTTGATCGTCTAGTTGAGCATTTGGTTACTCGAGATATGGTAAACACTCGTCGTTTAGTCACAGAATCTTCTGGAGGCGATCAGAAAACGAAAGAATCAACAATACCTGATTCAGAATGCCTTGACAATTCCTCTGGATCACCACCACCGCCACCACCAGTCAACCAAGACAAACAGGCGACTTCAGACCTTCCTGCTTGGTCTAAAATGCAGTCGTTGTTTAGAGAAGAGAAGGAGAATGCACCACTTGTGCTTATTACTCCTGATAACGTTCGTCAAATGCTTCCACAGTTTTGGAAAATGGCAACAGAAAAAAACTGCACTGACGAAGAGAAGGTTGAGCGTCTTCGTCTATGGTGTGATACTTCTCTGCAGAAAATGTTGGACAGTTCCAGTGTATCGCGTAAGGATTGGCCATATATATCATCACTTCTGTATGGTGAACAGATTCTCGACGAATTGAGCATGATTAGGTACCTTTCGAAAGTACCTCAACGACAAGGAGAAACACCGTATCAATGGTATTTAAGGGTGTGCGAAGTTGTTCAGCGCAGTTTACCACCGGGACCACAGCAAGATCGAGAGATTAAATCTTCCTTTGTTAGAGGTTTGCTTCCGAAATACCAAGAAGCCTTGAAATCTCAGAAGTTGGACTCCATCGCTGTTATTCTAGAACAATGTCATGCAGTTGATAGTTTAGCCGTTAAGCAATCAAATGCCCAAAAGCAAGTGAAACTGCCACTCAATCGAACTGAAACTTGCTACCATTGTGGATGCTTAGGACATGTACAACGCGATTGTCCAGAGTTGCTGCATGGAAACGGTAATTCTTTTTCTTGTACATATACGTCATGTTATCTGTTGATCTGTTTGTTTTTTCACTGGAAAAGTCGGCATCTTTGAGTTAGAATAGACCACCACCTAACTAACAAAAACAGTATAAATGTAGTGTGTTAAACTTTGCATAAGTGACTGGAACTTGGGCAATTCGTATTGTCAGCTGGTCTGCAGGTGCGAGCATCATTACCGACTTTCCTTACTAACATACATTCAAGTGGTATAAGTCACATTTTCGTTGGAAAAGTTTCTCTTGATTTAGTTTCCGATCCTGACTCACACATCCAGATGACCACAGTAATTCATGAAAATTGTGTTGAGATTCTTTTAAGTAGGATGAAATTGCTTTGTGTGTGTGTGAATCAGTTAGCCGACACCTGAAACACTTCACCCAATGATTCTAGTCAAATAATGTGGGTAAAACTAATCCTAGTTTGGGTTAGAAACCAAACTAAACTGAAATTAAATAAGCAAGTTCAGTAGTGACGTGATCTAATTGACGAGGTTGCGTAGAGCTCAACTACAATTAAAATTGGACGAAGGTGGGGTTAACAACAGTGGTAATTAGGAGGGTTAGGGGAAAAGAGAATATTATACAATTAAGAAACAAGCAAGCAAGAGAAAGGCGAGACACTAAATACGTAATTTTTGTTTAACCTTTTTTCTTGCCTATATTTCTTAATTGTATAATATTTTCTTTCCCCCACCCATCCTAATTACCACTGATGTGAACTTGACTTTTGTCCAATTTCAATGTTAGCTGAGCTCTACTCAACCTCGTCAATTAGATTGTGTCACTACTCGACTCGCTTATTCAATCTTGTTTCAGTTTCTAAACCATTAGTCAGATTTGTTACCTAAAATTTGCAATTCTAATAATTTTTATTTTAGTTTCTACCCGATTAACGCTTTCTACATTACGTAATTCGTTATCTGAGATTGATGTTTGGATAGCTTGTCCAGTTTCCCTTCTTAAGTGTAATGTATTTAGACAACTCACTGCAAATGCATGCAATCACTATACTTCAACAAGGCAATAAGAAGACGTAATTTGTGTGTCTAAATCGTGTATTGTGTATTTGTGCAGCACATTCCGAACAATCTGATAACACACACGGACTTGTCATAGGGACCTACGCATATGAAATTAATAAAGAGTTAAGAGGTGAGAAAATAGACTACATAGGTCGAGTTTAAAGGGGACATGTTGAAGGCGAAAATAACAATGAAGATCATCACTAAACCAAATAACAGAGGTAATAGTACATCTACCTTGGCTGGTATGGTATCAAAACAAAGTTTACCAAGGAAAGTAGTTTAGTGTAATGACGATTTGTTGCTTTGAACGCATAAAACTACTTTAAACTTTCTAATTGCCAGCTAGGGCTTCCATAAACTTTAGGATACGCCCTCCCCAAAACACGTTTTATAGATAGGGTTAAAAGACGTGTGGAAACAATAATTTTATGCCTTGTCTCCTCTGTAATATGTTTCGCAAACGAGGAGCTAGGTTGCTTGTTCTCACCAATGATGGGTTCTGGGGATAATATTCGCTGCTGAGATCGATAAGTTTCGCAAACACATTACACACACGATTCAGACAAATTACGTCTTCTTCTGGAAATGACTATATTATTTTTACAGTTTCTACGTTCATTTCCTCAGATTCATTTACACGCCATTCCTTGTATTATGCACGAATACCCTCATTTTACACTAGCCACGAGTCAGTCATGTCCACTAGTTTTGACCACTTTGTCTGTGTATTATTATTATTATTATTATTATTATTATTATTATTATTATAGGTGCACCAGAACGTCCGCGTTACAAGTAAGACGGAGTGAACCAACCACTGTGCGTGCATCAAACACATACACGCACACGCACACACCCTGGACAGAGTTGCATTTTCTTTCGATGATGTTAAGAGATTATTGTTATTTTTCAAATAAATAAATATTCCATAAGAGATAAGATTTATTTGTTAAATGGCACTGTGGGGTTACTAACTAGTTAGTACACATTTGGAACAATTTATGTGCATGTGTGTAGAAAATGAAATTGAAGATATAAAACAAAGTCGGCATACAATGACGAAGATGATGGTTGGGTGTTTGTGAATATAGCAGTTGGATTTATATTTACATACAGTTGGAGACGGGATATTTAGCCAGCAACAGCAGAATGAGAGTTGTGATTGTGAAGAGAGAATAAGATGCTTGGTTGAAGCGAGATATATTATACTTTGAAAATATTTCAACACACAGAAATTAAAAGAGGCGCATATTATTTTATTATTTACAAAGAATTGTTGACTTTTATTCAATTGATCATCAGCTAGCCGGTAACCATGTTGCCATGAACACGAAATCGATAAATGCAGGTATATTTGGGATGTCCATGATTACTGAGTATGACAAGTTCAATGAATTGGACAGGTTTAGAATATTCCTGGAAGAAAAAAACAACACACCAACAGTTATTCATTTAGGATAAAGTAGGGAAACATCAGTAAGGACAATTATCGTTCATTTATTTATTGGGAATTACAAAGGCGTTTACAATAATGAGTTATCCGTTTCCCATAAGGTGGTGTAGGTAGGTAGGCAGGCAGGGTGATGGTGACACTGATATTTCTATGTCACTTAACAGTGAGTGACCATCTTATGAGGGTATTTCCACTAAATAGACTACCGGTGATATGCTGAAACACTCACTAGAGGAGACTGGCTGACTGACTAACCAGAGGAGACAACAATTTTCTCGTTTTACTCTTGAAAAAGTTACTGTTTTCCATTGATAAATCGAACTAACATATTTGTTGGGGGGGGGGGGGAGGTGTTAAAAATTGAAGCCAGACGCATTCATTATTATCATCAGTGGGGAATTTATTTTCAGATGACCAGAGAGAGTATATACACACCTAGGGACAATGACAATAATAATAATAACAAAGCCATAGTGAGATGAAAACAGTCGTCTACTTACTTTGACGGGAAAAGTTTGTAAAGGTTTGTCGTTGACATCATACATGAAGGTTCCCAATACAACTCCGTCTTCATCGTATTCAGATTGCAAAGCCTGTAAACACAAATTGTATGGTAAAAGAAAGTTTACGTATGGCAACTAGCTGCAGTATTCACGGAAAAGTTCACAATATTCGAACTATTAAGCCAACAGTCCTCGTGATATGATATGATATGGCTTTGAATTTATTGTGAAGCAATAATTAAAAGCGTTTGGTGCTTCGCGAATTCGACCAAGCGGATAGAATGTCGTATATTTTCGAGTTCTTGTTGTTGCAAAAACAACGAATTCAGACCACTTGTTTTCGTAAATGTTTAAAAGGTCGAAACTATTTAACTATCTGTCTATTCTGATTGAGCAGTGTTAACTGACATGCAATTAGTTTGGAAAAGCGTTAGGAGTCGCCAAGTCAAAGCATGGATTCCGTAACTGTTGGTTTGACTTACACGTAGGCAGAGATGTCTGTCTGTCTCCTGAGATATGCTGAAAGCCAGTGACTTGATTCTTTTAGTGATGGTGATATGTCTCATATTGTTCCCAGTGTGGTACCAGTGCAGCATTCACTGTTTTTCTTAACTAACTAACTTCAAGATCTATTAAATCCTTATAGTTCCTCACATAATTATTGCTTCTCTCCTACACTTCTAATCGTTTTAAGGGAGGGGTTTTGAATTTTGTGCGTCGGTGTTTAGGACGCTCGCCGACCATGCACATGGTTCGCGGTTCGATGCCCTGTGGACGCACACCTGATATCAATTGCCGGCCTCCTAAATTTTGGGCTACCCACATCACTTGTTGAAAATTTCATAGTTGTACCAAAAATACTACGTGACACCAAGCTATAATCAAAGAAAAATATAAAAGTTAAATAAAATTTGCTTTATATGTGCTACAATAGAGTGAGCATTTCAACTTGGGCCGCTGCACTTCTGTGCAAAGTTCCGTGTTGTGAGACTCAATCAGTCTATTACAACAGTAAAGTAGGTGTTTTAGTCTCGACACCTATTGAATCAATGTGCACTGCATAGAAGAAGAGCGAATAGGATCGGATCTATGCATTGGCATCTGTGTGGGTGGTTGTCCAAACAACTGTCATTTGGTTTAATTTACATTTGAACACTGAGAGGGCTGTAAGCCTTCGAAAAACTGATGTAGCCGTGTTAGATGACCTGACCTGTAGTGTCCTTCAGTCGCATTATTGAAATTATGGTTTATGTGTTTTGAAGAAAAGACACGGCGCCTGAAAAATGTCTGCAAACTAGGATGAAATAGCTGTCAGGTGGTTTTCCAATGGTTCTCTAACCGAGATCAACTCATGGTGAAGTCCTGTCACTAGTCCAATTCCTGCAAACTGACACACTTGAATATCTGCATGTTTGTTTTTAGTGTTTATAAGGTCCAATATAAAATTGGAATAGTCGCCACTCTTCTTAATGAGTGTTCACCGCATACCTAAGGTATTTCATCAAATACATTGTTTATACATTCAATATTGTTACTAGCGAGCATTAGATTAATTTCCTTTAGTTTGGTTTGTAAGGGTTAGTTTTGCTTTTCCGAGTTGATCACGGATTGAAATCAGCTAGAGCGTCGGTGGCATAGCGGTTAGGACGCTCGCCGACCATGCACATGGTCCGGGGTTCGATCCCCGGCCGACGCACTCCTTTACCTCGCTAAGCCAGAAATAATGCTGGTGAAGAGGAAAGGTTGGGCATGTGGCTAGCAACCTCATCCTGTAAAATAGACACTGCTACAGAAGCTTCAAGGCACTAGCTTGAAGCCCTATGTTCCACTGGGGAACGTGAAGGAAAGAAAAGAAAGAGAACCATTGAAAACCAACCAGGGAGTACTGGACATCTGTTTCATCCTAGTTTTGAGAGTCATCGCCAGTACTCACCCACCGCCAGGGTTCGAACCCAGGACCTTCTGGTTAGAAGGTAAGATCGTAGACTATTAAGCCACTGGGACACGACTCAACAGTCAGCTGATGAATTCTAACTTCTACCAATTCGTGATTTAGCGCAACCAATATCATCGGTGGGGACTTCATCCTCACACTTGACTGGATGGACCTCGCCGGTCATTGCTTTTAGCGGTCGCGCTAAATCACGAATTGGTAGAAGTTAGAATTCACCAGCTGACCATTTTACTGGGTCCCAGTAACTGAATGATATACGAGGTTGCCTTTTAATCGGAAGTTCCTGGTTTCGAACTCTGGCGTTGAGTGCGCGTACTGTCGATGATTCTCAAAACTAGGCTGATGAAACAGCAGCTGTCCAGTACTTCCTGGTTGGTTTTCAATGGTTCTCTAACTGAGGATATCAATCCGTGATCAACTCTTAATATCAAATTGTTAGTGTGTGTAAATATTTGTCTGTATGAGCGTATGTGATTTGTCAGTCATATGGAAAAGACGTTAATTCACAAATCCAACTATGCAAAAACCCACTTACTTTTACAAGGAAATCCTTTGGCGCTGAGTCCAATCTCCCAGTTGGCGCAAGTTCTTTCGGTAGATGCTCTAATGTCACAGAAGTGATATTGATTGGATTCGACAGACGAATTATTACTTGACCTTTACTTCCGTGGAATGGCCAACAGTCACCGGGATTATTTCCAGGCTGTAAAATTGTTCTATATTGACAAAAACAAAAAAACACATTCAAGTGTTAGTTTGTAGGGATTTGATTGGTTACAGGATTTTCATCATGAGCTGACATTAGTTAGAGAACCATTGGAAAACCTGGGAGTACTGGACAGCTGTTTCGTCCTAGTCTTCGGCTAGGGGTCAAGGTATGTCGTGAATTGGCAGAAGTTAGAATTCATGGGCCATTGGATCGGGTCCCAGTGGCTTAATGGTATACGAGCTCGCCTTGTAAACCAGAAGGTCCTGGGTTCGAACCCTGGCGGTGGGTGTGTACTGCTGAAGAGCCTCAAACTGGAACGAAACAGCAGTCCAGTACTCCCAGGTTTTCCAATGGTCCTCTAGCTAATGTCAGCTCATGATGAAAATCCTGTAACCAAAAAAAAAAACATATTTCAGTTGAGTCAAGCTAAAGATCATGAAAATATGATTCACTAATGATAACAATGCCAGTAAATAAGAGTAATGAAAGTAAGCGGAGGTGTGTAAATAAGACAGAAACTACACACATAGGTGGTGTGATTGGGTATCTTTGTCCCCGGTGTTACAATAATAAAGATGCAAGGATGTTAGATAACGACTGTACTTTTAAGCCAGATTCGACTAACTGTGAAAGCAATCGCCCTTAGATTCACGAAGTTATTTCACAAACTAGTTTACTTTGCGAGGTAGCTCTAATGGCTTTCGTTACAGAGACACCACTAAGCCAAATGAAGCCTTTAGCTATTCAATGGCGGTCTCCATTACATTAGAGCAGAGTGCTGAATTTTAGCAATATTTAATATCTTATGTGTTATCAGTCCGTCTTCTGACAGAAACACTAGTGTTCAAATGTGATTAGTGTATTTAGAGGTAGCTCGAAGCATATAAACCCACCACAGGTGTGAACTTTGTCTGCATAGAAAGCGTTCTCTGCTACAAATTTTACAATTAGTCTCGCATCAAACAAAGTACTAGAAACGATCCACATAGCTATTTAACATCTCAGCCTTAAATATAAACAAAACAATTAGCCTCGTCCAATACAATACACCTTTTCTCACCATCTGCACAACTGTCGAAATAAGCAAAATTTCGACTATCTTCAATGGCGTCATTTTCGAAGTAAGTGTAGACACGTCTGTTAAGAATTCTGTGCTGGTATTTTTTATGCAAATCCAACTGACTAAGTTCGATTTCAGTAGCTTGTTTGTTATGGTGGTAAGATCATCAAATGGTTTGTGATTTAACATTGTTCTTCAGTCAACAGAGATTTCATTGTCAACACTGGACGAAACCGCCAGATGCTACACGTTCTTGGTTCCCTGCAGGGGAAGCAATCATTCCCTTCCATATATGTGTAAACAACAACCTGCCCATTCGTTAGCTTTGTCAGGTGTTTACGCTTCCTCAGTTAACATAAGATGGTAACATGGGAATGTCAGTAAAACAGTCATCGCGTAAATCTCACACACTTTGCAGAATTTTCTTCTTTCAAAACCTGCAATCCCCACCCGACACAGAATCGTAAACAAACCAGATTCAGTAAAAAAAAACTAACTTACCTAGGAGAATTACTAAGACGAACCAATGGCAACCCGAAAATGCTCAACAGGGATGCACCTTCGGTGTAAGTTTTTGTGCATCGAATGCCTATAATAGAACCTCCCGCAGATTCCAATGCATAATCTGGAAGACCGGTTCTATCTGCAGCAAATCTATGAAGTGCATCATCGATCATTTTTGCCAAGTTTATTTCATTTCCAAGTGAATTTGGCAGCCATTTATTCTCGTGATCTAAAGTAGGAGAAAGACGGCACTTCTCTGTGAATGTTTAAATCAAACACTTACCACCACCTCCACACCAGCAAACATAAAAATAGAGCTCAATGATTACACACAAAAGCAGAAGGATTTCAGTCCTCGAGTACTCTACTGGACCAGACTGGACTGGACTGGAGTGTATGGCAAGATATGACAGCTAACGGGATGAAAATGCAAGCATATGTAGAACTAAGGAATTATATAACGGTAGACAGCGAGTAGAATGGTCGGTTTACAATCACGTAGAAGTACTAAGGCATAGCATTTTAACATCACGATTTCAGACAAGAAGTACAGGATGTGTGAGGATGTACAGTTAGTAACATCATCGAAGAATCATATGACATCTTCATTTGACCACGGTTAGCTATTCGATGAACAATACGACAGGCAGTGCTAATACAGACGGTTAGCTGACTGAATGTCACATCAACCTATATACATTTACTTACTTAATTTACTTTACTTCGGCTATCCTCTACGGGAGGATGAGCTGGCTTCATGAACATCTCGAATCATCGCTGCCCAGGCGCGGCGATCTGATGTAAGGTTTCGCGACAGGGTTATCCAATTCTTGTTCCACAGACGGAGTCCGTAGAAAAAACCGGGTGAGCACAGGGCGCGTCGCTTACCGGGAACGCCGTAGCATGGTGAGAGTCGTTTGTAAGAGAGTTCATGAAGTTTCATGGGAATTTGGTACGAGTGATGTCCCCAGAATCGCTCGGCCTTTTGTTTGAGAGTGCAGCTCTAGCCTTTACACAACCAAGTGTGACCTACAAGGCAGTAGAAGTGGAGTAGGGAGTCCACTATCCATTGGCAGCCGGTGATCGGAGTTCGGTTCATACGCCTTTTTGAGTGGGGCCAGACATCCAACAAGCCGTTTGTCCATACGTCTGCCGGTGAACTCCAGTGAGCTTCATACGCCAGTCGTTGGAGGTTTGGAATCAGGGTTTAGCCATCTCCCCTAGACTGTCATCCAATGGGCAATCAACCCGGTGAAGAGCGCCGGGCATCCGCTTTCGCCCTCTCACTTTGGTGAAAAACACCTCCGCCACGTGAAGGCAGTGAGTAGGACTTCCTCAGGAGAGGCTATGTAAGACACCCGGTCATATGGGAGCATTTCAAGAGGTGTGCGGAGGGGTGGCCAACCCGCAGTGCAAGGCACCCACCCCCGACCATCCTGACTACTGAACTAGACGCCGACGGGAAGCACTTTGTGTTGCTTGACGTTATTTCACTTTTCACAAATGTGTCACTGTTAATGAAAAGATTCACTCTGTTTGTGATTTAGCACAACTGGATATCCTATACCTAAGCATTCATTGTCTGAGGGAGTTACTATTACTCTGTCTGTCCTAAGGCGGTACAGTTTGCGTTCAATAACGAATTCTATTTTCAAATAGATGGCATAGTGATGCGAAGTCCATTAGCAGCGCCCCTGTTTTGCAGATATGTCATCTTTGACAAGTTTAGAATATACTGCATTAAAGGATTGTACAGGAAAGGCTGACATATAATATCTGCAGTATATGGACGACATATTCATAATGTGCAGAGATAGATAAGGTCGAAGCCGAGATAATGTTAGAAGAATTTAATTCGTGCTACACCGGAACATGTCGATAATGATGGCACACGTCTCTTGGAAGTGAATCTGCTTCAACGGGCTGATGGAACTGTAGAGAAATCGATTTATAGAAAGCCACCTTGAACGGGACAATATGTACATTTCAATAGCTTCATCCTAGTCCAATAGAAAGAGAGTCTCTTTAGAACATTATTCGATACAGCAAGAAGAAAGGATAAGATCAAGTAGCACACTAGACTACTACTACACTACCACTACTTCTATCACTTGACTCGATTGGTAGTAGTAATTTCCATATTTCCTGTATGAGTGATTAGTCATTCCATATTAGATTGTTTATTAGATGTATCACACAGTGAAACAGTATTATTTACTGGGAGACACAGTTTCTAACAAAATTTATTGCTGTTCATAATCATTTCATCAATTATAATCACACGACTTCGAAACTTGAGTTTTATAGTTTTCTTTATCCTCTCCTATTTGTCGTCATCATAGGGGTAGCAGAATTTTCCAGATATCGGGGACAGGTGTTGAATCATTGCTATTACACGTGTTGGTTTGCAGTTGATTCGATAAACAAAGCTTCTGTTAGCAATATCTTCCCCCACCCTGTGACATTAGATTTTAAAACTGTCATCCTATCCCATCCCATTGTATGGTTGTATGTAATTGCATGTGGTGTAGTGCTATAGATGAACTATTCTCTAGATTTCTTATCTTATTCGGGTCAACTAATCTAGATTTTGCTGCTAGGTTTTTATGCTTGGCTAGTCTGTCTGACTGCCCCTGTTCTACTACTTTGACCTATGTATTTGATCTAACAATACATAGGTCAAAGTAGTAGAACAGGGACAGTCAGACTAGCCGAGCAAATAGGAGAAAACAAAGAAAACTATAAAACTCAAGTTTCGAAGTTGTGAGATTATAACTGACTTTAAGCCAGACTTTTGTGTACAAAAGAAGTATGTACAATCCCTACTTCTGCCTTGACCGTAGAGGGATAGACATTTATTTATTTTGTTTATTTAGTTATTTTTTAAATCATGGAAAATTAACATTGTAATATATAGAAAATCAAAACAAATGATTCAGCGAAGAGACTCTTTTCAACGAATTTATTATCAAGCTGTACAATCGTATATATATGGTTTTTAAGAAGTTATATCCGGTGAGGGAATTGAATCATAGGTGTGAATGCATGAAATAATAGTATGAAATGCAATTAAAACTAAAATGTTTGTGATTATAATCATAGTTTAATGTCAAGTGGCAAAATAATTAATGTCTTATATAGAATAATACATAAGGTGTATAGATTTTGGAAAGGGGTACATAATCATAAGATTACTTTATCACGTCAATTGCTACTGCTAATACTACTCTCACTTTGAACTGTCCCCGGTATTATTTCACTTGTCATTCTAAATCAATTCTTCTGTTTTACAACTTTAAATTGTATGTTATCAAATTTCACACAATATTACGTAAAGTTTTTATTTTTCGATTTGTCTACTGATCTTATAATTGCACACCTTTTTCAATTTCTATCCATTCTATGAATTATTCTATATATGACATTAATTTGCTTTGCCACTTGACATTTAACTACGATTATAATCACAAACATTTTAGTTTTAATTGCACTTCATATTATTATTATTTCATGCATTCACACCTATAATTCAATTCCCTCACCCGATATAACTTCTTAAAAAAAACCCATATATATACGATTGTACAGCTTGATGATAAATTCGTTGAAAAGAGTCTCTTCTCTGAATCATTTGATTTGATTTTCTATTTAGTTATTCTATGTACTATTCCCTTATTACTACGATTATTATTATTATTATTACTATTCTCACTCTGAATATTTTCCACTTGACCCACTTGACATTTTAAACCCAAAATTATTAATTTTTATATTTTTATTTTTACAACGTTGAATTCTATCTTATCAAATTTCACACCATGTTATGTAACATTTTATATTCGTCTACTAATCTTATAATTACGTACCCCTTTTCAAAATCTATAGACCTAATGTATTATTCTATATACGACATTAATTATTGTGCCACTTGGCATTTAACTACGATTATAATCACAAACATTTTAGTTTTAATTGCATTTCATACTATTGTTATTATTCTATGCATTCACACCGATGACTCAATTCCCTCACCGGATATAATTTCTTACAAAACAACCATATATATACGATTGTACAGCTTGATAATAAATTCGTTGAAAAGAGTCTCTTCGCTGAATATTGTGTTCTTATAATTGATGTGATTATGAACAATAAATTTCGTTCAAAACTTTGTCATCCAGTAAATAATACTGTTTCATAAGAAAAAGGCAGAGCGAAAAGGCACAAACAACGAAGAAAATTTTCTTTTCGATGATTCATTTTCATGAGCTGTACAATCGGAATTATAATTAACAAAGAAATCTTTAGACCAATCAGATACTAGTAAATTTTGTCCTTGGAAAATTGTATTACATAATGTAAGGTGTAAGAAGGGATGACTAATTGTAAATTAGAAAGGAGACAGAAGTTGGCATGACATAATACGTGTGAGATAATGAATAATCAATAAGCTCGTGTAAAATGGACAGGAACTGTTTCACTGTGTGATGCATCTCATAAACAAACTTACATGGGATTATTTACTACCACAGTGCCCAAGTTTTACACATATATTAATATGACTCATTCTTATTGCACGTGTGTTGGGTGTAGATTATTCGACGAACAAAGATCCAGTAATCAACCCCTGTCCCTCTCTCTCTCCACCTACCTACATTACATTTTAGAATTTTAACCCTCTCCTACCATGCTATTGTGTGGTTGTGTGTAAATGCATACAGTGCAATTGCTGAATGCTTTTTTCTGAATTACTTGTCTTCACCGGTTCAATCATTGTAACCTTATTTTTTTTATTTCCTTCACCTTCCCCAGTGGAACATAGGGCTTCAAGCTAGTGGCTTGAAGTCTCTGTAGCAGTGTTTATTTTTACGGGATGGATGGGGTTGCTAGCCTCATGCCCAACCTTTCCTCTTCACCAGCATTATTTCTGGCTTAGCGAGGTAAAGGAGTGCGTCGGTCGGGGCTTGAACCCCGGACAATGTGCATGGTCGGCGAGTGTTCTAACCACTATGCCACCGACGCACGATTGTAACCTTAGCTAAATTCTTATGTTCTGAGAGGCTATCTGACTACCCCTGACCTACAAGTTTGACCTATGTACTTGACGTCGCTCATGGTCATTGCAAAGTATTTTGTACATTGTATTATTTCGTCTAATTGGGTTAACCGACAAAGGTCCTTACACCTACAGAGCTTGTCCTATCTGAGTAGTGAGTTTGTAGGTCTAAATGCCACCACCCTAATTCCTGCTTTGTGTTAAGAATCCTACGTAGGGAGGTTCTCAGATGTCCCCTTCTTATATGGTAGAACTGTAGATGCCTTATATTCTCTCTTATTTATGTTTTCATTATTAGTTTCCTCATTGCAAAGAAATATCAGAGACTGTTTCCAGCGAAAAGGCCTAGTACATAAAGTTACGTTTCAAGAGAGATAATGTTGTTACTCCATTGGTGAAACGTCGCTTGGAGAAAGCCATTAGACGAACCTATTTCTGTAGCTGATATTTTTGCTGCTCATAAACGCTACAACAAAGGAGATATTGCAAGCGACAAAGGCAAAGAATAAGACATCGGTGATCCTCATCACATCATATCAAAAACAGTTTCCTAAATGGCTTTCCAGTACTCATAATGGCATCCACCAGAGGAGCGCAGCTGCCCCACATACATGCCGTTTATTGGACTGTGATCATACGGTGACGATGATGATGAGTGGAAACTTCATAGTTTGTAATAAGCTGGGTAGTAAAAAAGCTTTTGGGGTTTCAGTGGAGCCTGTACAATCAGATCAGAGAAGGCGGATGGATCTGTGTGTACAAAAGGAGACAGCAGCAGCAGCAGCTAGCTTAAATCATCTACCTTGGTAGAGGACACTTTGAGTTTATTTCACCTTTATAGTTTTCCTTCCCTTACCTCTTCTCTTTACAAAGTCTTTCCTATTAATATTATTATTTTATCTTACATATTCTGCTAGTTTTCTTAGGATTTGTGCCAATCGAAAAATTATAGTTGAGTATTAATTAATCTTGGGTGAGAAGTGTTCAAACATGTGAAAATCTTCTTCTTTGGTCCTATACGGTTTACATATGTCAAATTTACTTAACTGTTTGGAAGTTTTCATCATAAGCTGACATCGGTTGGCTAGAGAACCATTGGAAAACCATCTGGGAATACTGGACAGCTATTTCACCCTGGTTTGAGACTCCGCCACAACAGTACGCACCCACACGGTGAGGTTCGAACCCTAGATGTCCTGGTTACAAGGCTGCTAGTGAGCTAGCTAGCTTAGCGAGGTAAAGGAGTGAGTCGGCCGGGTATCGAACCCCGGACCATGTGCATGGTCGGCGAGCGTCCTAACCGCTATGCCACCGACGCACATTACTAATGTTGAAATTCCACTATTCCCTCTAATCTCTTACATTGACACCATTCCATCAGATGCTTTACTTCTGGTGTGCACATTTTCAAAGGAGAGACATGCATCATACATTCACATTACAAATGAACAAGCGTTTGATGGAAATTGCTTCTGTAAACTTGAGGAGAATCGAGTTCCTTTGTCTATTGATAATTTTAAAGGATTTCGCGATTTTCACCTCATGACCCATATCGAGGAGATGAGTCATGACAATACGGATCAAGAGGTGGAAATCGCGAAATCCTTTAAAATTATCAATAGACAAAGGGACTCGATTCTCCTCAAGTTTTCCGAAGCAATTCCTATCAAACGCTTGAAACCAGATTTAGGTGTTCAGAAAGAAGCAGTTATTAGTCTTTCCTTGCCCAACTGGGAGCTGGATGTCTTTATTCTTTCTTTCATTTGACTACGTCATCTTTGTCTTTAACCTCACCCCTCTTTTATAATCTGTAATTTTGCTTGTCTCTTGTTTCTATGATTTGAGTTGAACTCAGTACATTGTTACCTAATTTATTAGTCACTCAGCATCTTACGCATCTCTCATCTTTATTATGTAACTCCTTTACCATTGTATGCTTACATTTATTTTGTTTAAACTTGAACTGCCTGCGTATAAAACTGCATGAGCGCAATTCTCTGAGCACTGTTCGCTAATTGTGGAACATTCTGTCAACTGACATCATGAAAAAAGATTTGCAAGTATGTTAAAACTGTTTCTGTACATAAACCTCATAATTTCTTTAGACTGTAAGCAGTTGAGCTGATGAGAAGCCGACGAAATAAGCAATGATGGTACCATCTTCTTATTCTGTACAAATCTCCACTGTTGTTCTTGCTTTATTCAAATTCATCGTCTTTTGTTTAACCTTGCTCTTGGTCTGATCACCAACCAATCAGAATAGCCATTTCCAGCCAATAAGAACAATCCATACTGACGTTTTAGTGAGCCGACTTTATTATGGTTAGTTAAGTAAAATGTATCAATATTTCATGTGTTGTTCTTCCTTAAAATACACAGTCTCTTACATATTTGCAGTCCAGCCTTTGTCTTTTGATATTTGCATGGCTCAATGAATGAATCAATCAGAAGGCACAACGGATAAATAGACGCATATTAGTGTATCAGTCGAGTTCATTACCGTTATTAGTAATCATGACAGGCGCAGACATTAACAAACTAGCGACGGCGTTTATTCACAATTCACTTCATTTATATATAACAGGCAGTATATATATATATATATATATATATATATATATATACTGGCCAAGTTACACTTTGAGCGCCACTAACTACCTATCACCAATGATATTCCTAATTGTGGTGGACTGGATTATGCGTCAGACAGTGGGAAACGAGAAGACACGGATATCCTGGACCACCGACGTGAAGAACCTAGAAGACCTGGATTTCGCGCGTGGATGATTTATGTTTGACGTCACACAGAATCGAAGACTTACAAGCGAAAACCGACAAACTGGTCGAAGAAGCAGCCAGAGAAGACAGGACTCCAGGTGAACATAGACAAGACGGAGGTTATGAAAATAACCAACCAACCAACAACAACAACAGCAGCAGCAACATCCAGCTCCAATCACGATCAATGGGAGGGATTTGAAAGAGGTTACTTCATTCACTTATCTAGGGAGCATTGTTTCAACTACAGGAGGAACGGACGAGGATGTCAAATCGAGAATCGGGAAGGCGAGAAACACATTCATCAAGCTGAAACCAATCTGGAAATCTTCGTCACTCAGTATCAACAACAAAATTCGGATTTTCAATACAAACGTCAAGTCAGTCAGTTCTTCTATACGGATCAGAAACTTGGCGGGTCACAAAGAATATTTCCAACAGCCTGTTGCACACCTTTATCAACAACAACTGTCTTCGCTCTATACTACTGAAGATCAGATGGCTGGAAAGAATCACAAACAAGAAACTATGGGAACAAACAAAACAAGAACCAATCGCCCAACAAATATGCAGGAGAAAGTTGAGATGGATTGGACACTCGCTGAGGAGACCACTGGGTGACATCGCGCGTCAGGCCAGTGCTCGAGTGGAACCCGAAAGGGAAGCGGTGAGTGTAACGTCAGTGCAAGGATGACATGGAGGAGATCGTGTGAAGAGGAGCTGAAGCAGTATGGACTAACATGGATGCAAGTGAAAAGTACAGTAGAAGACAGAAGCAAGTGGAGACGTACAGTTGAAGCCCTATGTTCCACTAGGAACCCAAGGGAACAATAGTAATAATAACTACCTATGGAGTGCGACTGCACCAATGGACTTTGAAACGCTCACTGAACAAGTTAGTTAGTGAAACTTGGCAAATAATGTTGTCATCATCAATAAAATATGCTCATCAAAGTGTGATGTTATTAAATGGCTTCGGTTTGGGAAAGATTAAGTCACAGTTTAAGCCAAGGACCAGTTAAGGTTAGGTTAACCCAATAAAGGCGATATTAGGGTTGGTTCGAGTTAGATTACAGTTAGTTTAGAGATATTTTCACGTTAGGGTTAGGTTATTGTTAGGGTAGGGTTAGAAGACCTAAATAGTTACATGCATAGAATGTGGTTAAATTACTCTGTTTATATAAGTATAGAACTTTTGCACTGTGGCGGTAGAGTATAATTCCAAGGCCTCCTTCACATAACTAATGCGTTTGAAGTCATGCGCTGATTGGTGGTAGTTAGTGGTGCTTGTAGTTTAACTTTGCCTATATACTTCAGGTTTGATTCAAACCATTAAATTCATTTTTTTATTATCACTAATCTATATAAATATATTGGAGTGCTTGGACGACAGGAAATCCTCAGAAAAAGGTGCTTACCATGAATCAATTTATTGACCGACTGCTTTGTCAGATTAGAAACTGCCTGCCTCATGTATTTCATTAGGAATGAATCCATTCTATCATCATCAGCGTGTTTCAATTCGTTGATCACAGTCTATTCATCAGAGAGAGACAGAAAACGAAATTAACACACACGCACACACATATATTGTTAAAATTACACATAAGTAAGTAAGAAAACAGAATTGTCCCTCGATGAATACAATTACAAAGCAGAAGTTGATCAGTAACTATCATACAGACACTCTTACACGCTTTCTCCATCAAACCGGTTTTTACATAGTATTAAAATATGGATATTGAATAAAAGCATCATCCGTATCTCAAGGAAAAAAGAATGCTGACACCAATAATCAGGAGTGAACTACTACTACTGATAGCTGGAATCAGCAGTGTGAGTAATGAGTCACCAGTCTTACCTCCCCGACCGATAGCTGTTACCTTTACGTGGTGGTAGAGCTTGCATATCACAATGACCCAACAAGCTACACTGGCTGGAAAATAATCGTCCTGCAGGTCCTACCATGCCAGGAAGATTTTTAGGATAGCGATTAGACTAAAAGCAGTTACCGGCATAGTGTAAGATTTTGTTTTTTAACACTATGCTATGCTGGGAGTTTGTAGGCAAAGTCGCACTGCTGGTAATTAAAGATGAAACAGCAGTGGTAAGATGTTTCCGTCATATGACCAGCATGCCAACCACCTATGTAGTTTCTACACTCTGGAGAGAGGCGGTTACAAAAGGTCAACCCCAAAAATTGTACATCCCGACTTCCCCCACCTACGGTGGTCCGTAGCCGACGGTAAGCTACTAATACAGAACCAAACCAGAAAGCAAGTTCAGACAGGCTGTGATTGACCGGCCTCAAGCAGTTATCCGCTGGGCTCTGCGGTCACGCAACCACTAATTCTCTCTTTGTTTTAGGTATCTCAAGAATAAATCAACTTCCACGGTGTGGGCAGTCGGGAAGTAACAATTGCCCACACATCCCAAAAGTACACGAAGCCCTCCTGATCATCCTTCTCCTTTATTCCTGTCTCCCACATCATCTTGCTTCCCTACTATTGTCAGTATTATTCTGCAGGCTAGTCAGTCAGTCAGTCATCTTCATTTGATTCAGTGACCACAAATAACGATGAGAGCCAGAAAAGCACCCCAGATGGCCTCTTAAGGCCGCGCAGCCAACTCCATATTGGAGCATTTAACGTCAGGACTCTCTGCTAAATCAGATAATAGGCATCACTAGCCAGAACTCTTGCATATTGAGCCGTAGATGTATGTTGTGTCTCGGAGAAACACATACAAGATCTGAGTGTGCTTAATCACTTAACGCCACTACACCCAACCCGGATAACAAGGCGAATCTGAAGAGTTCACTTTAAAGTTGTCAGGAGACTCCTCAGCTAGTTCACGAGGACTCACATGTCTAGGGATAGAAGTAATTTGTTAGGGCAGTAAGACGACTTCTTAACTGGATCCCAGTAGATACTCATATGTGTGCTGTCCGTCTGAACGGGTCCGTTAGAATAAGGAAGGACAGCACCACCCATCGCTGTCCTTTCACAGTCGCCACTTACGCGCTAACCGACTTGTTCTTTATCCCGGTCGCCCACATTTTTTGCTCTCCTTACTACTGTCAGTACTATTCTGCAGACTAGTCAGTCAGTTAGTCATCTTCATTCAGACTAAATAATGATGAGAGTCAGAAAGACACACCCGAGAGCCGCTTATAGACACAGGTCCTCCATCCCTAACTTGGGTGACAAAAGCTGTCACTAGTCTGGAATGAGGCAAAGCACTGGGACTTGGTGGACCAACTCCAGAGGTGTTTAAAGACGGTGAATACAGATTACTGGCTGCGTTAACTAAGGTATTAGGCAGTGTCCGAGAATCACAGATAGTCCCGTTGGGCTGGTGTAAGTCATTGATTATCCCGACATACGAGGAAGACAAGTCTTTCCGTGATAATCACAGGGGGATTAGCTTGACCAGTATGCTATCTTAAGTTCTAGGCTCAATAATCATACGTAGACTAAGCGGTCCTCGGGAGGAACAAACACGAAAGAACCACGCAGGCTTTAGACCAGGAACAGGGTGTATCGCTAGCCAGAACTCTCTCATCTCGGGCCAAAGATGTATGTTGTTTCTCGGAGACTTGCATACAAAACCCTAGTGTGGTTATTCACTTACCCCCCCTCCCCGGTTAGCAATGTGATTCTGAAAAATCCACCTTAAGGTTGTCAGGAAACTCCTCAACTAGTTCACGAGGACTCGCAGGTGTAGAGATATATGAATGATGAGTTCCTTCGTTTACATGATTCCACTATTTCTCATCTCATGATTTAATTGGTAATAATGTTTTAAATATTTCTGGTATGAGTGATGAGTCATTCCCACTGCACGTGTCGGGTGTAGATTCTATGAACTAAGATACAGAGATCAAATTCTCTCTCCACCCACCTAGATTACTTTTTTGGATTTTAATCCTCCCCCATCCTACTGTATGGTTGTGTATTAATACATGCAGTGCAATTGCTGAGCTTTTTTCTTAGTTACTCATCTCCGTTCTCTATGCTCCAGAATTCGGAAAATTCACTCTCTAGATAAAGTCGACTTAGATTTAGAAAACCTTCGCACAACTCTCTCTGAAATAATGGTTATCCTAGAAGGTTTATCGACAGAAACATCAAGAAAGAAACCACTCCTAGGCAAGTCATCGTGCCAAAGAAGACACCGTTTATGTGTTTGGCTTTCAAAGGTGACAGTATTTCTAAAGTAATTAAAGGTCATTTATCTAAATGTATTAAACGCTCTTTTTATGCATCTGACTTACACATTTAGTATTTACCAGTTGAAATATGACTTGAAAATGCGTTAATGAAAGGTGAGCAAAGGACGACAAAGTCTTCAATCTGGAGTTAGGTCATTCAGCCCCACGTGATTTATCCCTCAAAGTTATTTACAGGACCAAATCTAATCACTCCAAAAGCTTACGTTTTCTCCACTTATGCATAGCATAACCTAAGCTCTAGCTATACATGGACAGAAACCTAAATTATGTATTCGAAAATGTTTTGTCAAACCCGTTTTGTCGACCTTGGTCATTGTTGTTCTTTTATTTTATTCTACTTTACCAGTTGAATTCATTCCGCAATTCACTTCACCTTCGCCATCTTTACTGTAATCAATATCATACTGGTAATCTTTTAGACAACACGACCTACAAAATCTTTTTACCAGTCCACTTATATAATAATCTTTAAAAGTTTTGTAATTCATCCACTTCAACTGTACCCCACCTCCTTAGTACATCGTTTTAATTATCTTTATTCTTATCATCCTATGTGCAATATTGACTGAGCAGTCTCTCTAGTGCCACTTAATGCCTTCTTTTTCCGTAATATAATAAATACGACTGTACATCTTGAGAATGAAGTCGCTGAACATAAAACTGTGTGTTTTCCTTATGAACTAATGGGTATATTTCGCGACTTTAAATATGCATTGGCGAAATGATGTTTTGTAAGATCTAATGTACAATAGGAGTAAGCAGGATTTATATTTGATTAAGTATCTATAAAAAGAGCATTTAGTTAACATGCTTATCCCTTGGTTTTGTTGGATAGCACACAGCTAAGAACGTCTTGTTGACGTTAGCAGAGACAGCAGGCAACGAAAGTTGTCCAACAAAGAACAAGCGCTAAAGATCACCAACAACGGGAGAAATTTGAGGCAGCCTCACCTCTCTATAAACTATCTCGGTGGAATCGTCTCAACCACAAGCAACACAGATAAGAGTGTGAAATATAAATACGACTGTACAGTCGGTCTGAAAATGAAATCTTTGAAAAGCAAAATAGTATTTCTTCGTTGAATAAAAAAGCGGTGTTTTTCCTTATGAAAACTGTAGATGACTTATATTCCTTCTTATTTATGTTAACATTATTAACTGTACAATTAATTCTAGTTCACTTTCGCCCTTTCTGTTTACCGTCTCTCTTTACCTCTTGATCTCTTCTCTCGCTTTATGTGCTACCTGGAGCATGGAGTGTGACAAATCGAACTGCCGTACATCTGTGCAAAGTCGTCCTACGTTGAAATCAGTCAATCGGTCATATCTCCTCTATGCATCAAGTGTTTAGGAAATTCAATATTCGAAAAATGTACCCTCAAACGTACTAGCTGCAATGATAAAACCCGCTGGAGTTATACCTCAATATAGTGAAAACAACACGAAGGGAAAAGAAAACAAAACAATCTCACCTGTTGGAAGGTTTCTCTACTATGCACTGAAAGTGAACGCGAGAGATTTTCAATAACCGTATTCACATGTTTGATAACATCTTCATGACACTGGTTGACTAATGCCTCATTCCCAGAGCATTTTTTCAATTCTGTGTAAGAAAATTCATTCAATATTTATATAATATACGTTACGGAATATACACATTTAATCATAGGGAATAAAAAGACAGTTGTAGCGAAGAAAATTTTCTTTTCGACGAAATCATCGACAAAGCTGTACATTCGTGTATTTATATCAAATGGGTAGAAAATTTCCAGAACAACTTCTGGTTAAAGGTCACATTAATAAAATTACAATTAGAAATTAAAATGCCATGGGCATAGCCGAGGCACTAGACATCCAAAAGCTCAAACCCAAACTATGTGTTCAAAAGAAATATATTCAACCCTTGTCCCTGCCGTGGCCATCATAAATCAGTAATTCTTCTAATAGTGACTGTCCCATTCACTTTCTTAGCCAAACTTCCTGTTTATTCATGTTATTTTAAGTCCGGTGGCATAGCGGTTAGGGCGGTCGCCGACCACGCACATGGTCCGGGGTTCGATACCCGGCCGACGCATTCCTTTACCTCGATAGGCCAGAAATAATGCTGTTGAAGCGGTGATTGCATAAACAATTATTCGTCACATTAGTTATGATCCCACTAGATTTTTTATCCAAACATCCTGTCTATTGTTGTTATTTCTGCATTTCTAACCCCCAATTGCACAGTATGTCAATCTTCTCAGTAATTATGGTGCTACTTTGTCTAAGCTTTATTCGTCACCCTGTTTATTATGGCATTTTAATTTGTAATTGTAATTTTATTAATCTGACCCTTGGCCAGAAATTATTCTGGAACTTCCCCACCTATTTATTATCAATACACGAATTTACAGCCTAGTTGACGGAGACTTCGCCGAAAAGAAAATTTTCTTCGCTTCAATTGTCTTTTTATTCCCTATAATATACGTTAATGAAATCTGAAACTATCAATTACGACACAATATATATTTTCAATTGATTGGTTTGTGATTATTTTTATTGATTTGACAATAGGTTTTTCTTCGTAACCTGGTGGCACAGTGGTTAGGACGCTCGCCGACCATGCACATAGTCCGGGTTTCGATCCACGACCACTGACGTATTTTGTGCGTCGGTGGCACAGTGGTTAGGACTCTCGCCAACCATGCACATGGTCCGAGGTTCGATTCCCTGCCGGCGCACAACCGATATCTATGGTCAGCCTGAATTTGGGCTACCGATATCCATGCTGAAAATTCCACACTTGTACTGAAAATACGGTGTGGAATCAAGCTGTTAATCAAAATTTTAAAAAAATTTAAAAAATATCACAGTTAGAGAAGTAGTAACAAAGTGCAGAACCCTGGACAGTTTGTTCATCCAAGTTCATCCGAGTCTCTTCAGCAACGATCGAACACAAGTCCTCTACAGGTTACCAGACGAACAAGTGGCAGCATATATAGTCATTCAGTAGTATGCAGCAAGTGAAGTTCTGCTTCAAAATTGCACCTCCTTGACTACTTGACTACTATAATAAGCAAGCTAGAAATAGCATTTATAATTGCTGGATAGTGACTAGCAGTGGAATCCAGGATAACGCGCATTTCGTCCTATTTGGGACTCATCAGCATTGGTCTTTATATAGTGAAAGCTGTGCTCGGTGTCTCATACAAACTAGGTGGTTGGGATTTATGCACGAAAATGTTTAGGCAGGTAAGTATTTTGAAAAACACAAGGAGTGAAGCGGTCATTTACCAAGGAGAGCAGGCAATTTTATTAGTGAACACCTTGATTGAATTCATGACAGCCAATATCCTTTGACTGTATGATGAATTTACCAATTCTCAAGACTATAAACTGACAATAGAAATTGCTATAGAATTTCCTTAAAAGCACGCCAAAAAATATTGTTCAAAATGCTTCCGAAATATCACTCATTACCCAAAATGTTAGGAAGTAACCATTTGCTATTGATGAGTCACTGAATAAACAACTAAACTGTTACTTGGAACAACATCAAGGCGTCTGGACAGAAGGTCTATATTCCACCAACACAAACTGATCATCAGTTCAATTGTAACAAGAAAATCCCACTGACCTTTAGAATCTCTTAGGATAAGACATTCTTTTCACCAAAAACTGAATTCTACTGAAATTTGAACAATTCCCAACGTGAAAGACAGACAATTCTGATAATAATAATAATAATAATCAATGTAAGATTATTTCGCCAAATCAGATAAGTGAAGCAACATATACACACACACTCTGTTTATAGAAGCGTTCGACTGACCAACACTAGAAGAAACAAGTTAAAGGAATTGATTTTTGAAAAGTAGGGTAGGATAGAAATAGAGCTCCACTGAATCTTTAGTTATCGACTCTACACCTGACGAGTACAATAGGAATGATGCAATGCCGATGCCAGAGATACGCAAAATACTATTACCAATTAAATCAAAGGATAAGAAATAATCGGATTACAAAAAAAAAACATTAAAGTTTGAAAGTTGTATGAGTACACCCTGTTATGAGCGATAAATCGCGCTTAAAATGTGATCAGTAAGCAAAATACTGTATCACACTAAATGTGCTTCTACTGAATGTTAAAACTTCGAATAAACAAACTGATACGCAATGACACCATAACTGATCATCATGTTAAGTAACAGATCGGTGTTTTCAAATCACATCTTGCTGAAGAGTCATAAACTAAACTGACGAAACAGCTGGCTGTCCAGTACTCCAGCGCTGATTTACCGATGGTTCTCTAACTGATGTCAGTCAGCTCATGATGAAATCCTCTAACCAATCAAACAAATTCCCCAGAAAAACAATACTTGAAAACATCGTGAAATGAAATCTCAGTTAGAGAAATCCATCAAATCTTTGAAGGCCAACACTTGAGAGTTGACCTCCTCCTCGTTGCTAACGTAATATAGAGTCCTAGTGAAAAATTGTGATCAATAAAGAGTCAACTGAATCGGTTGTGAGAAGAGATCCTCACCGATGATAATCGCTAGTGGTGGGTTGAGCTTTATATATATTCATGGATAATCCCCATCCAGGCATTAATGAAAACAAAACACGTAGTTCAACGAAGACACTGTTTTCGCCGGTGAATTCATTTTCTTAGCTGTACAATCGCAAATACATACATGAGTTATTTTGTATATATGTGCACATTAAGTTTGTCAAACAAAAATACAATTGGTTGTAGTTGTTTAAACTAAACAGGTGGAGATTGGCAATTGGAGTTACGTAATACAAAATCAGTCAAGAAAATTAGGTGTTGGTGAAATTAGGGTAGTAACAAAGGTGATATGTTGTCACAAACAGTTGTTAAAAGAAGTTAAGTAATAATAACAATAGTTTAATGAGTGAGTTTTACTCAGGATGCACATAGGAACAAAGTAGATAATACGAAATTACGTAAGAGTTCTAAGTGAATACAAGAATTATAAGCAATTAAAGTCATCCAAATAAAAAAAATTGAATAAAATAAAAAAGTTGTTACCAAGACAGTAGAAATGGTTGAGTAATCCTCTTCTTGTATTCATTTAGAACTCTTACGTAATTTCGCTTTATCTACTTTGTTCCTATGTGCATCCTGAGTAAAACTCACTCATCAAACTATTCATATTATTACATAACTTCTTTTTAACAACTGATTGTGGCAACTCATCACCTTTGATACTACCCTTATTTCATTAGCACCCAATTTTCTTCACTGATTTTGTATTACGCAACTCCAATTTCCAATCTTCATCTGTTTAGTTTAAATAACTATAACCAATTGTATTTTTGTTTGACAAACTTAATGTACACATACATACAAAATAACTCGTATATATATTTGCGATTGTACAGCTAAGAAAATGAATTCACCGGTGAAAACAGAGTCTTCGCTGATCTACGTGTTTTGTTTTCATTAATGCATGGATGGGGATTATACGTTAATTAAAAATTAACACATTTACTAAATTATGATAACTAAGATAACTATGAGTCACATCAAATCGTTTGATTTTGTAGAAATGTGTCAAAATCGATAGCAGATCGATCATTTATCGTGAATTCACACGAGTCGCCCGAGAGGTAATCATCATCAGAATTAGAGATATAAAATTATTCAGTCATGAGTTTTTAAGCTGATTAACTCTTAGTAACAATTAACAGAAAGGATTTGTTTTTCATATCAAAACAATATAAACATGAATACGTTGGAGGATTTCATCATGAACTGACGTCAGCCAGAAAATCACTGGAAAACTAGCTGGGAGTACTGCACAGTTATTTCGTCCTAGTTTGGGACTCTTCATCAGTACATACCCACCGCCAGGGTTCGAACTCAGGACCTTCTGGTTACAAGGCTGGTGAGCTAGCTCGTAGACCACTGAACCACTGGGACCCGATCCACTGACCCATGAATTCTAACTTCCGCCAATTGACGAGATATCGCGACCATTTCGCAATGTCGGCCAGTCACTAGTAAGCATCAGATTAATTTTCAAGTATTGGTAATTACCAAGTCTTTCGTTTTCTACCGTTTCACTATGATAAACTGTTTGAATTTCAGCCAGCACTACTAAAATTACAAGGCCTCTCCTCCATAACTCAAATTATTACACAGAAAGACTGACACAGCTACTCATGAAACTTACCTCCTTCAATATACATTAAAGCGGATTTGCTTTCCTTGCTTGCTCTTTCTAGATCAGAAAGACGTAGTGTCAATAAATGCACAGTCGTTTGCAATTGAAGTAATCTACCTTCAAGGTTGGCAAACTTTTGTGATCGATCGTTATTTAACCGCATCAATAGTAGACGTAATTTCTGTGACTGAAGAATAACAAAAAAGGACAGGTGAGTTACAACACATAAAACTGATGTCATAAAAGACAAGCAAAAACGAAAAAAAAACCAACAAAAAAAGGAAAGGAAAAATCAATTTATCATTTTATAGAAGCTTAACCAGCTTCAAAAAAAAAATCCCCATAGAGTCATATGAAAAAAAGAGAAGACGATGTTCAGCGATGAGACTCTTTTCGACGGCGAATTCATTCATATAGCTGTACAGTCGCATTTATATACAATTATTAGTGTGTGTGTAGATGAGATTAGATAATTAATCAGGTTGAATAGTGAGTGAAATATTCTCATATCCCATGAATTAAAAGTCAATCTGAACGAAGAATATTCTTTTCAATAATTTCTCCTCTTCAGCTTCTTACAATTATAAAATATAATATTTGTTGTCGTTACAGTAAAGGCCAGTTATGTGGCGGATATACTTTTTACGTAGAATAACAGATTAGTAGTTATTGGGTGTCAAAATAAATAGTCTGTCTGTTTTCGACATAGAACTTTGCACATATATGCGGCAGTTCACGTCGCCACACTCTCTCAATTTAACACACAAAGCAACAGAAGAAAGTAGGAGAAACGCATAATAGAGACAGTAAACAGAGGAGTGAGACAAAAGAATAGAATTAACGAAGAACAAAACAGTTTCATTGGAAATCATAAGTCACAAGGAGTGGATGCATCTGCGCCAGCCATCACGGAGAACGATTTTGAGCCATATCATCAAATGTTTCCAACCATTGGTTTTTACCCTCCCGTGGACCCCAACCAGGAAGTCTACACCTTCCTACGTGGCCTAAGCGATATATCTATGCAAGATACATAATTATCTTCCTCTTCTACAAACGTAGGTGATATGCTATTCTGAACTTAATTCATTCGTTATAAAATTGAGGTGGTAGAACAAGGCTTAACACTTATGATTACAATGTCGTCTATATACCTTCTATACAGTGGCACATTTTCGATTAAATCCTCCGATAAACTCTCAATGTACGACATATAGACATGTGCTAAAACAATTCGTCATCACACTAAACTACCTTCCTTGGTAAACTTTGTTTTGATATCAGCCAGGGTAGATGTACTGTTATCTCTGTTATTTGGTTTAATGATCTTCATTGTTATTTTCACCTTGAACATGTCCTTTTAACTCGACCAAAATTTATGTTTTCTCACCTATTAACTCTTTATTAATTTTCCAATGTTTGTCTAACCATTGTCAGCTCATGATGAAATCCTGTATCCAATCCATCAAATACCTACAAATCAATACTTGAGTAGTATTTGTGTGAAACAGACGTGGTCTGGGCCGAAATTGATTGCAAAATATTGTAGAATGGGAGACAATGGTGGTGATTAGTCATAATAGATTCGTAGAGTGTGGGATAGGAAAACTGACAAGTCAGTTCAAGGTTATAAAAGGTGTCATGTGAGTGAGTGAGTGGCTAGTACAAAGTGGTATGTATTCAAGAGGAGAAGATGGTAAGACTGCAATGAAAAGAACATTCCCTGCTGCATCCCTGAGAATAGCCTTTACTAGTCGACCATTATTGTTCAATAGCCTGAAGGACAAGATCCCGCTGTTGACCAACTCTATGTGTGTTTATCAATTCATCTGTTCGTGTGGAGCTAGGTGTATCGGTCGTTCGACATGGGTTTTGTCCAAGAGGGTGCAAGAACACTATCCTGCATGGTTACGAAGAGGTGGAAGTGGAGCAATAAGAAGCGCGATCATTGAATATCTGGTCGATAATGATCATCCTATCTCTATAGTCTCAGCCTTCAAAGTCATCTACAAGGCAAAGAGTAATTTAACCAAATCCCTACGTACCCGACTCATCTGTATTACTGAAGCTTTGGCTATAGAAACAGAAAAGCCAGATCCTTCTGTACACAGAAAAAGTTCGTTCAACCCCTCCAACTTACATTTCATGGTCTTAATCCCTCCTCTATGCTAAAGTATGGTAATCCCCAATCATATTTTGGCTCTACCAATTTTTCTTTTTTTTCATTTTGTCTATTCAATTTGTATTCTCTTCCCTATATTACGTCAATTGTTACTACTATTACTACTCTCACTTTTAATTGTCCCCGGTATTATTTCACTTGTCATTCTAAATCATTTTTGTTTTGCAGTGTTAAATTCTATGCTATTAAATTTCACGCAATATAACGTAACGTTTTTATTTTATTCGATTTGCCTACTAATCCTATAATTGCACATCTCTTTTTCAAGTTCTATCCATCCTATGAATTATTCTATATATGACATTAATTTGCTTTGCCACTTGACATTTAACTACGATTATAATCACAAACATTTTAGTTTTAATTGCATTTCATATTACTATTATTATTTCATGCATTCACACCTGTGACTCAATTCCCTCACCGGATATAACTTTTTAAAAACCATATATATACGATTGTACAGATTGATGATAAATTCGTTGAAAAGAGTCTCTTCGCTGAATCACCACTTCTTTTTATTTTCTATATACTACAATGGAAATTTTCCATGAACTGAGTTGTCAATTTTCCTACCCCACACTCTACATATCTATTATGACAACTAATCACCACCATTGTCTCCAATTTCACAATATTTCGTAATCGATTTCAACCCAGAGCATCTACGTCTCACACAAAAACACGACTATTTATTTTGACACCCCATAACTACTAATCTGTTATTCTACATTAAAATGTAACTGGCCTTTATCGTAACGACAACAAAATATTTTATTTTATAATTGTAAGAAGCTGAAGAGGAGAAATTATTGAAAAGAATATTCTTCGTTCAGATTGACTTTTAGTTAATCAGGTAATACAAGGATGATCTCGTATAGAAACAAGGTTAATTAGACACCAACTGAAGTAAGATTGAATTAGTAAGTCAGATGACGCAATATAATTGACTAAAATGTTTCAGCTTAGGTCAGGATATCAACACAGGTAATTACAGATAGAGACTAAGTAGAGGTGGGGTAGAGAATAATGTCATTTAAATTAGGACTAACAATGAGCAAATGATTTGGATGACGTAACATAAATGACTAAAATTTGAGCGTTGGTCAAGTCAGTAACAATGGTGGTAATGAAGTGAAGAAATTAAATCGGGTGAGGTAGACAACAAGAAAGTTGAAAATGCAAAATATTACAATTGAAAATACCTGTGGGGTATTAAGACAGATTACGTCCGTTGTAAGTGTAGTGATTGAACGAACTTCTTCTGTATGCAGAGTTCAGGACTTAGCAAGTAAAAATTGTCATTGTTTCTGCATTTTGAAGAAGTTTGACTTGTACACTTTTAGGAAGACTGCTTCGTATTCTGTAGTTGACTTTGAAGTTTGTTTGGGGTGTAGCTTGGTGTCTGAAATCTATCAGATGTTCTAAGATGGAGCTGCTGGGGCATCGATTTTCTCCTTTGTAAAACGATGCTGGTAAGTGTTCGGTGATACGTTTGGATAGAGAACGCCGGGTACGACCAACATACCTGGCTCCACACAAGCAGGTGAATTGGTAGATATACACATTGATCAGGCCGGCAGTGGTAGCTTATCGTTCACATTCATACGAATCATAGGTTTCGTGGAGAAGGTTAATCGTAGTTCAGCCGCAAATAAGGTTTTCTTAAATGAACGGCACAGTCGACTTTTCAGTGTTTCCGCAGATGAATCTTTGTTGAATTGCAGGTTCATGTAGAGGAGTTTTTTCGGGACGCTAAGCGTGGGCAGCTTTTGCGGTCTAGGATTCATGGGTTTTGCAATAAATCATTTTCGACGGAGATTCTCTTGAGATTGTCCATTTGTTCAATTTTGGTCCTAATTTAAATGGCATTATTCTCTACCTTACCTCTACTTAGTCTCTATCTGTAATTACCTGTGTTGATATCCTGACCTAAGCTGAAACATTTTAGTCAATTATATTGCGTCATCTGACTTACTAATTCAATCTTACTTCAGTTGGTGTCTAATTAACCGTTTCTATATTAGATCATTCTTGTATTACCTGATTAATTATCCAAACGTCACAAATCTCATGTACACACACAACAATAGTTGTATATAAATGTGATTGTACAGCTATGTGAATGAATTCGCCATCGGAAAGAGTCTCTTCTCTGAACGTCTTCTCTTTTTCCATATGACTCAATAGGGGATTTTTAAGCTACTGATTTATGTTTATAGAAGCAATTCATTCTATAATTTACAGTCCATTGAATAAGAATCCGTTTACGCTATTTTCACACATGTAGGCAATTATCGACACTGGCGAATTTGAGTGTCGAACTTCAGCTATCGACATTGGCCTGTTTGAATCCCTGACAAGTTATCCTGTTTTTGTTTCTCCCTTTGAGTTCCCAGTGGAACATGCCTAGGGCTTCAAGGCACAGGCTTGAAGTTTCTGTAGCAGTGTTGTTTATTTTATGGGATGGAGTTACTAGTCTCATGCCCAACTTTCCCTCTTTACCAGTTTCATTACTGGTTTACCAAGGTAAAGGAGTTCGTCGGTGGCCGGGGATCGAACCCTGGACCACTTGTGGCGTGTTTGGCGAGTATCCTATCACTGTCCCACCGACGCACTACATTGCGTCCTCACCATAAAATTTCGTATTTTAATCACACTGCATCAATTTATATGAAGGGGGATAATCGTTAAGCCAGAGAGCAACAAACGGATATATAATACCACACATGACTGACTGGTAGCTCTGTACATCTTATCTCCAACCGTTGACTGACACTAACAACCTTAATAACTATATCATCGATTTATTTTCTCATTGAACTAATCATCTCAGTGAAATGAGACGTATTCTAATCAATACAAACCTCAGACAGTGACAACAGTTAGTGACTCAGACACAATAGAGATCCCATAAGTACTCACTTGAATAACCACTTCAACACAGTGCATTGATAGGCGTGAAAACACCTTCACCTTCCCATGCACTCAATCAAACAAATCAA